CCCACGCGCCTCGAGTCTCCCGCGCGCCCGCCGAGCCCGGCCGCGCTGCCGGCGCTTAACACGCACGCGCGCCCCACGCGGCCCTGGGCCCTCTTGCCCCCGCCTCGCCGGGCCTGGGCGCCTCCAGCGAGCTCCTTCTCCGGTTTAGCCGCGCCGTAACGCGGGACCACAGGTCCCCGCGGGCCGTCGTGAATTATTCATCGGCAGGAAGATATTAGATGTACCCGCTGCCCGCTCCGCGCGAGCCGTCGTGCAATGCTATCCGAGCTCCGCGCGCTCCCTGCGCCCCTCCTCCTCCTCGCGTCCGTCCTCTCTGAAACCTTGGCAGCGAAGGGGGATCACATTTCCTTTGTCATCGGGCCATTTCGCCCTCGCGTTGGTCCCCCCCCTCCGATCCCGAGCCGCGGGGACCGAGCCTCCACCGGGGCGCGCCGGAATCAGTGGAACCGGCAATGGCCCAGCGCGGTGAGCTCGGGAGCCGCGTGGTCAACGCCGCCGGCCCGCTCCCGCGTCATCTTCTTTCTGAAACGAGTCGCCGAGCAAGACTCGGATGGGCCCCGGCAGCGCTGCTGCGTCTACCGGGCTTTGCTCGCGCCTTGCGCCCTGGCCTCCTGGGGCTTTGAAGAACTCCCCAATTCGGGTTGCCTGCGTGCACGCGCGCGCGTGCCCCCTCTTTCTCTGCTTTGCCGCCTCTTCCTCCTCCTCCTCTCAGTACGCTGGATATTGGGACTGATCGGAATTCGGAATCCTTTTAATCTCCAAAGGAGCAAACTCACTTCCGCCCGAGTGCTGGGAGGGGGCTGGGGGAGGGGACACAGGGGAGGGGGTTCCAGGCAAACAGGAAACATTAGCCCTCTCGGCACGGCTCGCTTTTGTGTGCTCCCTCCCTCCTCCCTCCAACCTCCTCCCTTCTCCGGGCCGCAGGGGAGATGAATGCCCCCGGGCTTCAGTGTGACGACCTTTGAAACCTTCCGAGCGAGGAGTGGAGAGCGACTCTTCCGTTTATTTAAAAAAGAAAAGATTGCATTCTGAATCCCGGTTCTGCAGAGGCGGCCCGTGAGATCTGGGGTCCCCCCCCCAAGACCTTTTTTTTTTTTTTTTTCTTTTTACGTTTTCTTAAAGACTGCATATCTGTGATGAACACCAAAATATCACGCAGTTGGAATTAAACGAATCTGAATTTTGATCTGCGGAGGGGCCGGTTTCTTTTTTGAGTTTTACTGGGGGGCAGAGGGCAGCTGTTCTGGGGAGGTTCCCGGTGAAGGCCCCGCGGCCATCTGGGTGGTGCCCGAGGCTGCCTGGGCGGTTCTGGGAAAGGAACTCGCTGGGCCCTGGAGAGAGACTAACTTGGAAGAGTGGAGGGGGCCACATACCAGGATTTAGAGGGTATTTGGTGTGGAGGCCAGCGGGTGGAACAATTGTCCCTGTCTTAACACCATCAAGCTGTGACTGACATCTTGGGTCCCACTTCTACAAGCAACAACCTGGATGAATCTCAAAAACATCTTGTTAGAAGGAAGGAGCCAAACACAAGTTCGTAGTGTGTGATTCCAGATACAGGAAATTCTAGAACAGGCAAAACTAAGCTTTGAGGGTAGGAAAAGAACCCTTGGGGGTGAGGGAGTATTGACTGGGAAGGGGAATAGGAGAGAAGCTTCAAGGGTCGTGAAGTAGAAATACGTTTGTGTGTACATTTGTCAAAACTTATAGATCTGCCATTGAAGATCTGTGCAAAATTTCACTATGTAAATTATACTTAAATTGAAAAAAAAATAATTAGGTGTCCAACCTAATAATCATGCCTGTATCATAAAAGTGAACAAAAAAAGAAAAAACACTTTATACACAATTCCAGCTTCTTCTCTGAATTTGCTCACCAGAATTCAGGGAGGTTTCTGGGGAAATATCAACCCGGAAAGAACCCTTAGATCAACCTGCTGGACAAACATGCTGAAGGCCCCAGGGTGCAGAAACATCGCCCTAAAGGGAGAAAGCCATTGTGGGGCCCGGTGCTGTCCTGAGATGGGAAGAATTCTAGGACAAGCTAGCAGCCAAAGTCCTCAGCTGCTGTCAGGAGGGCTCTGCTCGGCACCTGGAGCAAATCTATGCTCAGTGAACATTCACCGAAATGTGTGAGGAGTGCAAAAATTATTATCAAATAAACCCAGAACATGGCAATTGTATCTCAATAAAACCGGGGGCGAAAAAGAACAGATTTCCTTCTTTGACCAATGAAAGAGAAGTAAACACTTTATACTTTAAATATTAGAATTAACACAACATTGTACGTCAACTGTACTCCAATATAAAATTAAAATTTAAATAAATAAATATTAGCAGCTTTTCACGCAACTATCTATTGCCAATACGTGTTTGTGTTTCTTCCATAGTTTGAGACCAACGTGTAAACAGGTACATGCTCACACATGAATTTTCCTACAGAATTTTGTACCCTGCTGGCCTTGCTTCAGCAGAGGTGGTGTATGTATTCTTTGGTTTTGTTTCTTTTCCTTTCTTTGATTGTTTTTAATTTCTTTCCTTTTCTTTCTTTCTTTCTTTTTTTTTTTTTTAAACAAAAACAAGAGGAAAACAGATGGGAGAAGAGAATTGCCAGAAGGAAGATGGCCCCAGAGGGTCAGAAAAGGGATGGGCCAGACCTGCTGTCTCCCTCATGATTGGCCCCACCCACCAGCATCTAAAAAGGTTTAAAAAAGATGACCAGAGAGGGGGAGGGGAGAATTAGCAGTCCTCCTGGTCCTATGACTCTAAATATCTTGCAAGTAGATGGCAGAGATGGAAAGTCAGCTGAGACATTGTGGAGGAGCAGGAAGGCTGTAACTCCAGAAAGAGGAATCAAACTCGACAGCAGTTGGTGGGTTAGTTTCCTGGGGACAATTGCTCAGAATATGCCAAAAAGAAAAGAAAAAAAGAAAGAGGAGGAAAAAAAAAGGTCTTGATTTCTATTCATGAAGTAGCTTCCCCTTCCTTTCTTGAATTGACAGGACATTGCCAGGAAACAGGGCTGCAGTGTAAATTGTTAAATTAGCACTTTTCTAATTTCCATTAAGACTTAATTTACCATAGGTGGGAAAGAGGGAAATTTTTAAAGCAACTAATTTAATCCCAATTGTATAGAAATAACAGTTATGATTTTTTAAAATACAGTATAGTGATAAAGAACAAATTAGGATGAGATTTTAATAAGACTATAGCTTATCCATGAGAGGAACAGGAGCCATACATCCAGATGAAAGGCCAAAGACAGTCCCCTGCTGTAAACTAGTATTAAATTTTTCACTGCCATCTTAGCTAATAAACACCCTTTTTTAGCAAGGGAGGAGCAAACAGCCGTCCAGTTTTCCCTAACATTAGAAAGAGAGTATGTATATATCTTTCCTAATCCTGAAAATAAATCATTTGTATTTTAATCAATAACTACTTATTAAAAGAAACCAGCCCTAAAATGATGTAGGCAGTGAATTTGCAGTCTTTCTCGAATTCATCCATAACCATGTTTTGTTTTCAAAGATGACACTGGCCCCTGCTGCTCTCTCAGGCCTGGGGCTGGGGTTCCGCCACATCTCCATCGAAGTCAATCTGCATCTGCTTTTTGATCCTTTAATTAAATATTTGATGCACCCGCTTGTTTTGATGTCAGAGTTGCACCTTTCACCATCATCCTAAGGGTGCTTTCAGGTAATTTTTAAATACATAAATCACCAGAGTATTCTTTTTAAACATTAAACAAACATTACATCACAATAACTCTTTTAAACCAGTGGGGGTTAGGGCCGGGGGTGGGGGGGTACCAGCCGAATAGACTAACCGTGAATCATTGTCTGCATTCTGCCAGCTGAAGGGGAATGGCATTCGACACACCAGGCCAACTCTTAACTCTGCCCTGACTCCGGCCTTGGGGTCATTATGAGAAGTGTGTCAGCTGCTTTCAACAACCCAGAGTTCAGAATAGCAACAAGTAAGAGGATATCATATAAGCTGTAGTCACCTAGAACTTCAGAGACTATAGTAAAGAAGCTTGAATTGCACATAGGAGAGGTAAAAGTCAACATCCAGCTTGGTTAGTTAAATTAGTTCAGAGCTCATCCCAGCTCAACACTCTTAACTGTGTGACCTTGGGCAAGTTACTTAACCTCTCTGTGCCTCCGATTTCTTATGCATATAGCAGGGGACTGGTGCAAGTACCTAGCCCATCAGGGTTAAATGAGCTACTAAATGTACAGGGCTTAATATAGTACAGATCACGTGTAAGTGCTCAAGGACACAGTTAAATATTAGCTTTTTGTTTTCGTTATGGTTATTCAGCAGAGTGGTTTACTGCCTGCCTACCCCTTAAATTTGTCATTGCCTAATCACTACCCTCCCCTGGACCTCAGCATTTCAGGCAACCAATCATGTCCTCTTTCCCCTCCATAATAGAGAGTTGTGGTCTCATCTCCTGTCACTCACAGCTCAAGACCTCGTAGTGGCTGCCGGTGGCCCGCCACGTTTCAGCTAAGCTCTCAGCCTACATTTTCTTTTTTTTTTTTGGCCTCACCATGTGGCATGTGGGATCTTAGTTCCCCTACCAGGGATTGAACCTGTGCTCCCTGCATTGGAAGTGCAGAGTCTTAACCTCTGGACCGCCAGGGAAGTCCCTCAGCCTACATTTTCTAAAATGAAATGTGTATCTTTCATAATAAAGGGCAAAAAAACTATAAAAGTTGTTTTTTAAATAAATATAGCAGAAAATCAAAAGATACATAAATCAGTACATACCGTTAAGCCTGACCAGCTTCTCATTCCTTCTGGAGAGACCCCGTCGGAGGGTCTACATGGAAAGGGAAAGGGGCCCATTTTAGCCCAGCCTCCCAGCCATCCCCATCAAGGTACCAGGCATGTGGGTGAAGCCACCTTGGATCCCCTAGACAATCCCAGCCTGAATATAACCCAGTTGGTTCCACTAGGCTTCACTCAACTGAGCCAGTCTAAATTCCTGACCCACAAAATTGTGAAATATAATAAAATGCTTGTTGTTTTAAGCCACTAAATTTTGGGGTCATTTGTTACACAGCAGTAGATAATTGGGACACTCCACCCCTACCTGCCCCATATTTTCTGCCAGATTAACATCCCTAAGTTTCTTCTCTCTCTCTCTCTCTCTCTCTCTCTCTCTCTCTCTCCCTCTCTCCCTCTCTTTCTCTCTCCCCTTCCCTCCCTCCCTCCCTTACTTCTCTCCTTCCTTTCTTTCAAAACAGCTTTAGGGAATTCCCTGGCAATACGGTGGTTAGCACTCTGCACTTACACTGCCGAGGGCCTGGCTTCGATCCCTGTCGGGGAACTAAGATCCCACAAGCCCCACGGCAAAAAAATTAAAATAAAATAAATAAAACAGCTTTGGACTTCCCTGGTGGTGCAGTGGTTAAGAATCCACCTGCCAATGCAGGAGACACGGTTCGATCCTTGGTCTGGGAAGATCCCACATGGCATGGAGCAACTAGGCCCATGCGCCACAACTACTGAGCCCATGCACCACAGCTACTGAAGCCTGTGTGCTGTTGTGCCCGCATGCCACAACTACTGAGCCCACGTGCTACAACAACCGAAGCCCGCGCGCCGAGAGCCTGTGCTCCACAAGAGGAGCCACCGCAATGAGAAGCCCGTGCACCGCAACGAAGAGTAGCCCCCACTCACTGTAACTAGAGAAAGCCCGCGCAAAGCAATGAAGACCCAATG